TGAGGTCTCGAGTGTACGAGCATTGGGACAATTCTTCTACCAGTCCACCGAAAGAACGTCCTCGTGAAGAGAGGGCGGCAGAGGTCGCCTGCCCTCCTCTGGGAGCTTTGGCCTGGGCAGGGAAGCAGCCTGTCTTTCCACAGGTGTTGGTGGATCGCTTTCTGGAGGGGAGTGCAGAGCATGCTCAAATCATGGCAAAAAAGAAGGAGTTCGATGCCATGTTTCCTGCTGCTGCGCAGCCTCCTCCAACAAGTGTGCCTGCAAGGGCCGGCGGCCTATGCGACTTTTCTGTCGATTCTGGCCGCGCGCCGCTTGATGTTAGCCGGCGCATCGATTTGCCATCGGTTTCAGTGGCTGACTTCGAGACAGTCAGAGTGCACCTTGTCAGCGCTATAGCCAGGGGTTTCGTTTCTTGAGGTCTAAATTAAGTGCCTCCAAAAGTTGCTTTGTTCTCGCTTTGACCAAACCTTCGTCAAAGGCGCGGGCAAATTTCGATGAGCGGTTCCAGACCAGCCATCGCCATTTCCAACGATTTCTCTGTTTGGTTGGGCAACACCAGCGATGCAGACTTGATGGTCCACGCTTGGGAGTTGTTCGGATTCGGCCTCGGCAACTTCAAAGCTGAAGTGGTGAGCAGCCACCTCAGACTGTCGTTGTTGCTAGGATACTTGCAGTAGTGTAGTTGGGTGTGGAATCGACTGATGAATTGGTCGGGGATTTGGCAAAGTAAACAAACAGTTAGCCTTTCACTTGGTGCTGCTGTAGGTGATGCTAGTCGCGAGCTCCATGGCGTCGTTTGGCGCGTGGTGGATGACCTTCACTTTGTGGCTTACAACAAGAAGCTGCTTCCTGTGTGCTAGTTCCTCCGGATGTTGGCGGTAGACCACGGTCTTGGAGAGGTTGAGTTTGTCGACCACGTGCTCAAGCAACGTGTGGTGAAGGCGCCGTGAGCTGCGTTTTTTCCAGCGCGGGAATAAAAGCTTTGCAGCAAGCACCGTCTTGAGTGACATATTCTTTTATTATTTGATGGTTTCTTTCTTTGAGAATCCACATTCGACTCACAAGTTGCCATCGTGTCTTTGAAAACGGCTAAAACGTGCAATGTGACTTCCTGCCGTGAAGGGACGGTGGGCTAAAACGTAGGCGCTTCTAGTGGGAAGGGGTGCGCAATGCTCGAGCGCCTGCCGAGAATCTGGCTATAGATATTGGTGGTCATTGGAAGAATCAACGATCGGGTGCTGTTTTTCTTTTCCAGCACAGAAGGGGGGTGTGTTTTTTGTGACTACTTCCGCCAAGCCAATCCCGATCAATGAATCATGTAGAATGTCCGTCGTGTGCTTTGCTTTGGAAACTGCCTAGGGTGAAGGCGGTGGCGAATTGCCTGTTTGCTTCCGCTACCATGTCGGCCCGGTGAGCAGCAACAACACGAATGTCTTCAAGCTGAACGACCCTCCTGACTCATTCCGAGCTCAGACTTTGGGGGCGCTCTACAAAGGTTCTATGGACAAGATCATCAAGAATCAAAGGGCATCAGTGGTTTGGGAGGCCAAAACTCCTAGCTACAGCTACAATGTCTTTCGAGTTAAGTTACTGTAATGGGGTTGCGTGTCGTTATGAGGCGCAAAGCTGTTTTCAGAAGCAAATCTATATAATGAAGGGTTTTAATTTTGTGTCAGTCCTTTCTTGGCAGGTGAATTTTCAGGCTAGCCCGGGAAGAGTGATTGCTTTGAAGCCGAAAGTCTACCTTACGGCATCGCTTCACATCCCGAAGCATAGCTGGTGCAATATCAGCGCTGCGTGATTAGCTTTTTGAAATCGAGCGTTCACTGCCGGCACGATTTTGCTCGACCAACCCCACCGAGGAATGGGGCTGTGTGAGATGATATATTGATTTGGTGTTGGTGTCAGGTTAGAATATAGTCAAGCCTAGTCCCAAAGAAACAGTGTTTGCCAACATATGATACTGACTGTTTCTAAACAGACTCTTATATATATATAATATACTAAAAATATACTGAACAGTGTGACCCGAAACTACAGAAGGCACCAAGACCGTGTTGCCGGAAGCTCATTTGTGTCCGTTTTTTGTGATTTATGGTTTGTTCCAAGGTATGTGTCCAATAGCTATGTTCTTTCTGTTGGATGGCCTAGCGGGCGCCATTTGGGCAAGACCATTTTGCAGCTGGCAGTTCGATAGGACCAGTCACGGCTTTAGCAAAATCAGAATGCCACAGACAGAAGACATGTGGAAGTCAGGGTCAGTGTTTGGGGTTCTATTACTATTCCTGAATGCGCCGGCTGAATTCTGTTGTCTTCCTGCGCCTTTGCTTGTCAAGCTCTCAGTCATTGTCAAGTATCGTGCGTTTGCCACCTGAACTTGAGAGATGGTGGTGTTTGCCGCTGCAGACCAACTCTCCGGTGACTCTGGCTCCGAGAAGGATGGGTGTTTTTTGACTGGTTTGGAAGCTCCGCTGATTAAATTAGCAAGCTTGCCAGCGGTTTTGTTTCCCAATGCCACCAACGTGCTTTTTATGTGTCGGATCTATTCAAGTCGCGCAGGATGATCGCACTGTTAGACCCAAGACAGCGCCGAAGCCAGCGCCAAAGTCAGCGCCGAAGTCAGTGCTGAAGGTTACTCCGAAAGTCAAATTGCATCCAACCTCAAAGGCGAAGGCTAAGGCGGCTAAGGTGTTGCCGAAGAAGAAATCCAACTCCGACCCGCCGCCAACCCAACCATCCCCCAAAGAGGAGGAGCCAGACTCTGACCCGGCTGCGCCGTCAAAGACTGAGCCTTCTGAGGGTGTCATGAAACGCCCTTCGGCCAAGAATTCATCGAACAAACGCTCAGCCGCTGAGATGGAAGGCGGAGGGCCGTTTTTTCCACACTTGGCTCATCATGTGGGGTGCGATTTGTCACGCTAATGCAGTTTGTCATTCTGTGGCAGGTAAGCCGCTCAATGTGCGTGGGCCATATTTCTATAAGAACAACGGGTCATGGGGAGTGAATGTCAACGGCAAAGAAGTATGTCGCGCGCCGTGGCCGCAGTGGTTCTGATAGCCGACTTGTTGAGTTTGGAGCAAAACGCAAACTTTGAGACGTAATCAAAAATGCACGCCTTGGGGAGCTGCAAGGCTGGTGGTGTGCGGTTTCTGCCCGAGAAGTCAAAGGAGATTGCGATGGTGGCGATTGACCTTCTTCGACAAGGGAAATCGATTGACATAGCGAAGCAAACCATTGTCCTTTGGAGCGCATGCAAACACCCCGCTGGTGATTGTGATGTGTCAAGTCAAATGTAGAGAAGGCATAATTATACAATGTAGACTATAGAACAATAGTCAGTGTGCCCGCCTGTCGATTTCCACAACTAACGTTGGTCTCTCACTGTGGGAGACTGACATAGTTCTTGGATTGCGGTCATCCGCGCGTCTTGGTACTTACTGTTGGCTGGCTTTTTGCTTCGGCCAAGGCGAGCATGCACAAGGCACTGTTGGAGCAGGAGGCGCCAGGAGACAAGTCCACTGAGCAGTCTGAGCCTTCTGCGCCGGCAAAGGGAGCGGATGGAGCCAAAGAAGAGGCGGTGAAAGAACCACCGCAGCCGGAGGAGGAACGTGAGGGAGAGGAGGAGGAGGAACTCGAAGCTGACCAGGAAGTAGAAGCTCCGCCGGAAGACGTGGAGTAGATTTATGTTGAAGCCTTCCAATTTGGAAGCCAGCTGACTGACTGAGACTTGTGTCGGCGGCAGAAAGGTCAGCCGTGCTTTTGGCGCTTCGTGGGGCAGCTTTTGGTAATTGGGGTTCTTGGGTTGAATGTTTTCCATTGACCCTATACAAAGGACTTTTGTAAGTGGCCTTCACTTCAAGCAGGCGTGACCAACTGGGAGATCAACATCAGATCGAAACATCTGTGTATTATTCTGGGTCTCACTGTAAGAGTCAGCTTCTTCGAGGACCGTAATGTCGGAAGTGGTCATGCCAATGGACATGGTAACGTTAGTCTGACCATGTGCTTGCCTCGTGTTAACTTCGTGGTTGTGTGAGGCCGGAAGTTCAAATGTAACGTGCAGCGTAAAGCGTCATTGTAGCCGGACGGTGTCATGGAAAACGCCAACAAAATTCGCGCTTCTAGTGATTGCATTGGACCATTGACACACTCTATATATTGTAATAAACACTCCAAACATAATAGAACAGTAGGTGGGCTGACGCATTTTTACGCACCTTTCCCAAGTCTGGTATGTAGAGTGGGACATTTGATATTATGATGCACCGGCATGTGATCCATCTTTAATTTGCATATGTGGGTGCGCCTGTCAAAGTGTGGGGGCGCGGGTTCCTGCCTCTGACTCTATGTGGGCGCACTGACCAGAAATTGCTAGCGTTCCTGGCCCAAACAGCAGGTGAAACTATGTCTAACTAAGTGCCACAGGGGCAGCTACTTGACAAAGATGGCGGCGCTTCAGTGCTTCAGTTTGGTAGCGGAGTAGGGTGTGTTCACCAGTAACCAACATAAAGCATAAAGCCCAAGTCAATCCCAAAGCCCAATTCAAATGAAATTTCTTTTAAAGTAGAAGGTGGAAGTCGGTGGAAGACCCGGATCGAATGCCGTGCGGATCGCTACACTGCTACACCGTACGTCTGTTGACGCACGAAAAGGGGCCATCCGATACACGGATTGCACAGCTAGACATGCGCTTCTTCGTCCGATCGCCAACAAGAGCTGAATAGACGGCAAAGACCAACCCAATTCCAAATCGGGGAGCGCGTGGCACAAGTTTGGCTCGGCTACACTATGGGGCCAGCAACAAGCCGAGGCTGCTCGTGGGACTTGAGGACCAGTGCGGGTGGACTTGCACCGAAAGACTGGAAGCGTTCAGACGGTGCCTGTGGAACAGTCTTTCGTTTTTAACGACTTTCAAAAACGACTTCTTTTAATTGACTTAATCTTTTCTTATCTTCTTTTCTTATCCGAATTATTTTCTTAACGCGAAGAAGCCACAGGCCTCACGCAGCCGATGCAAATCCAGGTAAGCCCGCGCATCGGCTTCGGCGTCACGTTTCACCTGGACGGTTGGCACGGTTCACCTATTCGTTTCCGTCTCTTTTTTTAGAATTCGTTTTTTTCGTATATATTGTTGTTTTCTCATTTGTTTCTTTTTCCCACTTTTCCCGTTCCGTCTTTGGGCTCCCACTGGAAGCGGGTCTTCGCGGCCTCGGCGCAGGATGCGTGACGACAGAAAACGTGACGACACATCAGTGACGCATGAGTTCCATCTCATCTGTCTCCTGCCTGCACCATTGGACCTCTCAAGCAACATCAACCCCATCTCCGAACGGTGTTCGGTGGGAAACGTGCGGAACACGCCAAGGACACAAAAAGCGATGAGTATGCGGTAGACCGAGCAAGAGGAAACATCGACCGCTAGAGGTAGGTCTAAGGACAGCAGTGCAGCTAGCTTAAGTAGGAACTGGACACAGGATAGCTCACGTCAAGGAAGCACCCCCCCCGCCACGTCGCGCACTGATTTGCTTCTGTTTGGGAAACTTATGATGGCCATGTAGAGGTTTGCAGGGTTCTCTGTGCGAGGATGACACCGAAGGCACGAACAACTGCAGGCCGAAGCAGTTGGTGACTTTTTTGGTGAAAAGCAAGTTCTCTGCAGTTCCTCTTTCCGCAAATCTTTCACGACTTGTCACTGAAGTGCTCGTTTGTGTCAAACCCCAAGTGTAAAGCAAGTGGGCACTTGCGCGGAATATTCACAGATTGAATGGGTGCAATAAGCAGGCATACCAAAGATAACAGGAACAAACAAAAATTCACTAGTGACAATGTTCGCAACACGGCCCGGAAGAAACATGCACTGCCTTTACCACAATCCGCGGCAAACACACCACTTCAGCGGTGCGTTCCGGTGGAAACGCAATCACCATGCAATACATGTATCTCAACCTGAGCATTTTACGCACTCTGTATCCCAGACCTTCACTTTGATATCTTTGATCGGACACTTTTGCATAAAATGGTCGTTAAGCATGAGAGAAAAACCTGGAATGACTCTTGTACAATTTGAATGTGAAGTCGGTCATTTTACTGCGACATAACGTGTGTTGTTTTCCCTCTATCAGCGCTACCACGTTGGTTGGATCTTCTCCCCAATCAAGTGGTCATTTGAAGGCAGGCTTCGCAACTCTAAACTGTTCTCCAAGCACTGGAGAAATTAGATTCCAATTACGCAGATTCACGTCTTGTTCTTTAAAATGCAGAATTGACCTTATCATCCAATGCATTCTTTGGCTTACACCTATGCCCCATAAAACCGCTCACGGAACATCCCAGGCGTCGAATCATGATTTGTCTACTGTAGGAAACGAATGCGCAGATCTGGCCGAGCAAACAAAAGCGTTTAAGGTGTTGGATTTGAGAAGTTTATTGCAGAAGGAGGTCGATGGACAGCTTTGCAGTACGTTATCTTTACTTGCGTGACAGCAAATTGTAAAGTGGGACAAGTTCAAATTGCAGACCTTGACAGAAAAGAGTGAGGATGAGGTGTTCAGATCGATCCCCAAATTCTTCGATCTGAGTTTACCATCTATTTGCCGTGCCCCTACAGTCCCTATTTGCCTGTCCACTGCGTTCGCAACAATTCTCGCCTTTGTCCGGCTTGCCCGCATGCGAATTTCCACCCTCTTTTCGACCCTCTGGCGGTGAAACGAAGTGTCCGACTTCGAAAAATGTCTTCCCTGTTTTCCTTCAGACTTCAGACCACCTGCACCAGCCGCCCAAGGTGACCGACCTTCAGCTTTCAACGAAGTGGCACAATGCCCAGCTTCACCTCTGGTGCTCAGAATTGGCCGCTTCGATCGCATCAGTGCCCTTCGACAATTGTGCGCTCTTTGTGAAACCTTCCAATCCAGCAAGAACTACAGTAGATGGACGAAATATTCAAACCCATGTATCAATAACTGTCGCCAACCCCTGACCCCCAAAGGTCAATGTTGAACATAACTTGATTGAATTTGTGTTTCCAGGGTTTGATTTGTTTCGTCCATTCGCCGAAACATTCTTGCGAGACCTCTAACATTGAGCTTTGGGGTAGAAGGGGTCCTCGTGGTTGAAAGGGTTTGAATATTTCGTCCATCTACGGTAGTTCAACATCACGGTGCACTTTGAAAACTATGGACGTCGACAAAAGCCACACTTGGCAGCTTTGAACCCAGACACCTGTCATGCTGGGACTCATTGAGGTTCTGTCGACGAGCGATGAAAATCTGTTGGGCCTTTGGCAGACCATCCCAAGAAAAGACGACCAAGCCGTAATCACTCGCTCGGGGTGCACCGTTTGTAATCACCCAAAAGCCGAGCAAGTTCCAGATCAGAGGATCGTCCACTGGGGTTCCTCAAGGCTGTGCTATGTCCTGTTTTGCGGCATCATAGGCCTGTGTTACCACAGGTACTTCGCGGCGTTTGCTCGAGTACTGCCTCTGTCCGTGGATCACTTAGGCCTTTTGGTTCCATGGAAGTCGCGCAACTGGCGTGCGCGGTTCTTTTCACTTGAGCCAATCGGTGAGGCGTTTTTTCGCCAAGTTGTTTTGGGTTCATGTGGTCCATGCTGACTCACGCTCCCCCTTGGGACTAGTTCGCAATTGTCACTCGATCTCTAACCAAGAAAAAGCTGAATCCGCACCACTTGCCGTGCAGATTTGGCAATCCATCTTTATGCCATTCGGCATCTACATAAATCAGCCTCTCAGAGAACTTCATGGTGTTCTGGTTGAGCAGCCAAGCCACCGTCACCCGGAGGTACTCGAGATCCCTGATGTCTTCAGGAGTCGATCGATGCTCGGGGTGAAATCGTTGCACCCTCAAACTGCGCCGTCGGACCATCCAAGTTTCCAGCGGCAGGCGTAAATAATCCCAAGCGTCCGTTCTTGGAACTGGTCGAAATTTCGTGGCTTCTTCATCCACCAGGCGCTGCACCTTGTCAAAAAGCTCTTGAGTCCACCAAATCGACGGTTGGACCACCAAGGTGTCCCCGTCGTCTCCCACCGGCGGAACCAGCCGAGGCACGGAAGGCCAGTGCGGCCGATCCCAAGGTGAGGGATCACCGAAGGAGGATATTCTTCTGGCCACGCCGATCCCAATCGAGCCGGTCGCTTGGACACCTCCTGGCCTTGGTAGGAAGACGAACTTTTGGATGTAGTCCCCATAGCCGCCGCACCCCGCGCCGCTGCTTTGCCTCCAGAGTCCCCCATCAGCTCTGCAGGTGGGCTTTTCCGGGGATAGTACCCAGATTTCAGGCCCTCAATGGTCTCAGCGACAGGCTGAACATACTTCGGCAGCACAGGTGGAGGTTTCGGCAATGGTCCTGACACCCCTTGTACATACTACCGGCGGACGTTCCTCCCTTGCCGTTCGCGATCGCCTGCGCAGCCCGGTTGTTGTCGAAGAAGAAGACGAGGCACCGCCGCCCTGGTAGCTGTGATCTGCAGTCTCGTCAGCCCGGCTGAAGCGCAGCTGCAGCCTTCCCCATACGCCATGGCATGCGCTCGCGGCCTCTAGTTCTATGTCGGGAGCCTGTAGGCTACTGTTGGGGTCTTCAAGAATTTGGGACACTGAAGTCCAAGACCCTGGCGTGCGGCCCGACGCCTCTTCCTTTCTGGCCTCTTGTTCTTTTCTTGTACTTTCTTCTTTTTCTTTATCTTCTTGATTTGACCTTTCTTGGTCTGTTTGTTCCCTTGCAAGCCCCGCTCGCAGGGTACACAGTCTGGGTTTGGTCGCCACTAGGGGTTCTCCCCCGGAACTGCTATTGTTGTCCTGACCCTTGGAAAACACGTGGTTTTGAATCCCCAGCGTTGACCCCCTTCCTACCAAAAACCCTAATCGCTTCAGCGGCTAGGGCCACGCTCAGAGATGCCACCACCGCCACCTTGACGATTTGGTTGGGCCAACCTGGAAAAACAGCGCAGCTGGCCAAGCACGTACAATGCGACCTTTGCTAATCGCACGCCACCATCATTCTCGCCCTCCGGAACCTCAGCCTCCTGGTCGATGTCATTCTCCCCCAGGTCCACCATGTGAATAAACTTCCTGAAGCGTTGCCACGCGGTCTTCACGGCAATGGCCTTGGTGAGGAAGTCGGCAATCAACTTCGTTCCCTCCAGGCGGTAGATTTGCCAGGTTCCCAGACGTGATCGCTCTCTCAACGCATGTGAACGCAGTCGTAGATGACGAGTTCGCCACGGACCATCAGGTTGTCGGATGATGGCAATAGCCGCCTGGCTGTCTCCATATGTGACCACCGCCGGCGGTTCCTCCGCCCCCAACACTTCAGTCATCAAGGCCTGTAGGCTGTCCCCCATGACGGACGATTCGATGTAGCCTAACAATTCGGCTTCTGCAGTCGACAATGCCATACAGCTCTGCCTCGAGGATTCCCATTGCACCACCCCACCACCAACCATGGCCACAATGCCTTGAACACTTTTTTCTCCTTGCGGGGCATAGGACACGTCACAGTAGATCTCCACCAGGTTCATGCTGCGTTCTCGAGCTAAGGCTTGATCCGGGCCCCGGTCCTGTTCTTTGCATTTTCCATAGGCCAAGAAGCACTTGTCAGTGGCGTTCAGGTACTCCAAGATGTAGTAACCTGTCTGTAAAGCCCAACGTGGTCTTTTTGTCACTGCTCTCCCCAGTGCCCCAATGGCGAATGCCAGGTCCGGACGACTCCGCACAGCCACCCACAAAATTTCTCCGGCAATGGCCTGAGCCTGGCGGACCTCCTCAATCTTGACGTCCTCCTCGTCCTCCACAAGGCTAGCATGCTCTTTTGGCAACGGTGTGGACCTTTTCGCTGTGATCTTTCGGCGACGGAGTAGATCTTGTAGGTAAGATGGTTGTCCCACCCAGAGTTCCTCGCCCTGGTACTTCATCTCGAAGCCACAAAAACGCACCCATTCATCAGAGTTCACCAGCTCCGGCTTCGAAGTCTTCCACTCCTCTTGTGTACGAGCCACCAACCCATCGTGAACAGCTTTCGTGCCCATCACCAATAGGTCATCCACGTAGACCAGCATCAGGCCAACCGGTACATCACACCCCACTTGTAGGACCCGCCACAGGTTTCTTTCTTTGGTGGGTTGAAGCTTGTATTGTACCCCCTCCACCACCCATTCAAACTTGTTGAACATGGCGTCTCGGTGTAGTGCCCAGAAACTCGGCGATGTCTGCTGCTTTGTGGACTATCCACACTTCGTTTTCCGGGCATATGCCCAACTGCGACATGATTTTGGGCGGAACCACCGCCACTGGAGCAGCCCCAGGAGCGGTCGGCCTTGGCGCCTGTAAAAAGGCACTTTTGACATCAAGGGCTGACATCATCCATCCTTCATGAGCTGCACGACGGACTGCACATCTGATCAAAGTACCGTCCGCTCTGCTGGCGTAACTTCCTGCTGGGCCAGGTGCAGGGTCTGCCGTTGGTGATGTCATGTTTCCACATATGACAGCCCGCGCACGATGCGCGCCACTTCCTCCTTTTCTCACGCACACCATTTTGCCTGGCACCAATTCAGCATGAGGAGGAAGGCTTTCACGAGGTACTGGCTGTACAGCCTGCGTGTCCTTCACGAGTACATCGTAGTCGTATTCATATTGAAAGGCTGGTACCCAATCTTGAGGATGTGCTCGAACTTCATGAAGAGGTACCGTGACTGTTTGCAGGACATCAGATTCCTGAACTTGAAGGCTGCAAAGATGTAATTATGCAAGTGTCCCTCTCCACTCGACCCAATTGGATCAGGTTGTCCTCCAGTTCATCTCGCCATCCCACAAACAACTCCACTTCATGTCCCTGTTGAGCCCCCTGTGATGCATTTCGGGGAACACCATCCACCAAATTGGACAATGTAATCTCATGTGATGCCCCTTCACGAGCTCCATGGGCAGCCGCCTCCCAACACCATCTTCGTCACTGCAGGGCCCTTCAGCGGGAACTCCCACTGTCATGGCCTTCACTCCCGAAGCTGATGCCGCAGGCGTAGACCTCAACCCAGTAGGCACTTCCTCAACCGTTGCCGATGTCCCTGGTGAAGTTGAAGCATTGGCCTCCTCCTCCAAGACTCCGGGCTGTTTGTATTGCTTACCCCTTTGACCTTCGCCACCTTGACCGCCTCTTCTCCCTTCCCTCCTTCTTCAAGAACAGGCAGGCTGTGCGGCTATGGTTCAAGCCAGAGCAATGAAAGCACCTGTTGTCCTTGGGACTCAATCTACTGTGTTTGAACTTGCATCGATCGCCACGCCGACACCCTTTTTCTGACATCCAGAACCGACACTTGTCTTTGTCACCGGCGACACTCTCCCGTTGTTCCCCCACCGAAGGACTCGTCATGGATGTGGATGAAGTTCCTGAAGTAGGGTGGGTAGCCACTGCTTTCAATGACAGACCCTTTCCTTGCCCCACTCCAGTTCCCGCTCCCATCGCCAGCTCTTCCGCCTCCGCTTGCAGGAACTCCGCGAAGATCTTGAGGTTGTCCAGCGTAGGCCTTGCGTCGATCAGCAACTGCTGTCTGCTCGTAGCCAATCGGTACGCCACTTGTGCTCCAGACTTAGCCAAATGGTCTGAAGCTTTCACCAACACCCCTGCGAGGACCACGGGATCCGGAAGCAGCACCCCCAACTCCTCCGAGCGATTCCACCAACGCCGCCAGGTTCGAAGGACCTGCGCAACGTCGCCCATGTTTTGGGACAACTTGAGCTCGGTCAAGTTCTTGATGAGGTTCATTCGTTCACCTTGTCCTCCAGGTTGAAACTTGATGTAGAGGATGAACAATACCTGCGCCACGTTCATCTTGCGAGCCGTGATGACTTCCGATCGAACTGTGTCCGGCACCGCTTGCAGCAGCAGGCTAAGCATCCGTCTTTCTGTACGAGGCCATTTGTTCGCCTCGTCGGGACTGACAGGACCAAGTCGAAGACGTTGTAGAGGATCTGCCACCAACCAAGCTTCATAGGCCTGCTCTACACTTTTCAAGGTCATCTGCCACCATTGATTGGCACCTTGGCTGATCTCGGACACGATGGGCTCCAAGGTAGTCAACCAGTCACCAAACGTCAGCGCTGTAGCATCTAGGCCCAGCGCCGGCAATTCCACCGACCGAGCGTTGTTGCCCAGTGATTCCTCGGTTGGCATCCACATGCCATTTGTACTTGATGGAGGTAGTCTGGGTAGTCCAGCAGGATAAGGCCACGGATACGCTACCGACCCCACGCCTACGCCATTGGGACCCACATTGACTATGGGTGCAGTGGTTTTCACATTTCCTGTAGCATCCACACCTGGTTGAACTCGTTCACCTTGAACTTTGCCTCCAGGAGCTTCAACAGCCGATTGGAACGACGAGTTCGAGCTCTGTGGTCCCAGCTTGCGAACTTCTTCTTGGAATTTCGCCTCGGCCTCTTTCAAACATCGTTCACGAAGACGTTCAACTTGATCACCGCCACCACGAGGTTGCTGGTCTTGTCCACGAGGATCGCCTGTACGAGCTTGATCATGAAGTTCCCTCAACTTCTCTGCGGACCAGGGGTTCAGTGGTGAACTCTTCACAGAACCTTTTGTCTCTTCGAGAACTCGCTCTCGACCACCACCATTCTCCTGAGGCTCAACTCCCCCAGGCCCCCTCACCAATGGACCTTCTTCAGGAAGTTCTTCCCGACGTACTTGAGGTGCCACTGGCAACTGATCTGCAGAGCCTCCATTCCCCCACATTCCAGGGTAGGGCTGTTCCAACCCCGCGAGCATCCCCCAAGCTTGTTCTTGCACCGGTTGAAGTAGAGAAGGCATGCCGCCGCCACCATCTTGCCCTCCACCTTGTCCAGGACCAGGTGGTGCAGGTAGTGCTGGTTGTAGCCCACCCACCATAGGCATCTGTGGGAAGGTTGGCAAAGGAGGAACCATGGGCATGAATACCTGCGGTGGACCACGTGGCCCCAGTTCCCGAAGGTCTTCTGTCGCAGGCAAGGCCCTGTGCTCTTCCGCCTGTCTCCTCTCCGCCGGTGTGTTGGTCACCGCCGCATACGAGGTTCTCTTCAGGGATGGTGTCATAGTCCGACTTGGCTCCAAGCTCTGAGCTCGCCGAGGCTGTTCCCTCGCTGCTTCCAGCATGGCGTCCAGCTGCTCATCCGCTGTGGGCGTTTTCGATCTTCTCCGTCTCATCGTCGTGGATGTCATGGCTCTACACCCTTGGGCTCATAACCCATGGAAGTCGCGCAACTGGTGTGTGCGGTTCTTTTCACTTGAGCCAAACGGTGAGGCGTTTTTTCGCCAAGTTGTTTTGGGTTCATGTGGTCCATGCTGACTCACGGGTTCAATGTTCAACAAGCACAGGACCTTATGCATCATGTCATCTTGGAGTTCTTGAGCGTATGGCAACTGGACATGGAAAAGAAGAGTTGGACCTGGTCACTCGTCAGATGCGCGGATGGTTTGTGGCGATTATGGCAGCTTGATGCACCAGCCTCCCTGAAGAGCTGGATCCTGCGATCACGTGTCCCCTGAGCAACCTCGCACATCGTTCAACTCCGGTCCGCGGTCAAGGCTGGACATGGCCGGGCGGGAGCCTCGCCCATGTTGCGACTGATTCAGGGCCCCTTGGAGGCTGACCAGGGCCGCTCCGGATGTTTTCAGCTTGGGGTCTTGAAAGACTTCAGACGACTGTCGACAAAACAAACCGAATTCTTTGTGGAGATATCACTTTGCCCCGTTTCAGATCTTAAAGCTGGCCCGTTTGCTAAGATCATGGTTCTTGACCAACTCAGCCTGGATTCAAACTGATGGGGCCGCGTTTGACCTTTTTGAGACTTGGACAGTCCTTCGTGCATTGAGTGATGCCTGGAGCTGGTGAGCAGGAAAAATAATTGTTTTGACGTTCTGGGTTTGTTGCACGTACAGGCCTGACAACACTGCAACAGGCCCAGATGCTATCACGACCGACTGTCCCCGCCTTCGCTCAGGTGAGAGAGAAGCCAATCCAATCCTCTCGAAGTGGGATTCGTTGCCGATTTCATTCTAATTAGCTTGTTGTTTCTACGTTCGCAAACATTGTTACTAGTAAGGCACTTGTTACTAGAAGCGATGTACTTGTCACTAGTAGCACACAATTTCTTTTCATCCCCGAGTTCTTTCAGAAAGTGCCACCGATGGGTCTTGCGTCGTGGAGTGGCCTGAGTGCAATCTTTCGACACATGGTATGACGCATGACGGCAGCGATCAGATGGTTTACGCGCCCATCTAGAGCTACTAGGAACAAGAACGCTACGAACGGGGCTCCTGGCCTTACTAGGAACAAGGACGCTCCGCTAGTGGGTATGTCGCCGGCTTTCGTCTTCGCCCTCACGAGCGAAGATGTGGCCATTCGAGACGCATGTGGAAATGAGACTAGGCTCAGTTTGTTAGACTTTCTAGTTTTGGAGGGTTACGTCTTGTTCAGGCGTTTGACAGCGAACCCTCTAGTGTAGTGGTGGCCATCAATTGCTCGCTCTCTAGGTGATGCCTCAGACTTGTGCTGTTTTGAGGTTTAAGCTGACAGTTTTCAGCGGCCGCAAGAACTGATCGTCAAGGTCAGGAGTGAGTGAACAGATGCAGCTAAACGTTTCAACCAGACCAAAACCGGCGGACTGGAGCGAACGGCTCTCGCCGCTGAGAGTGGATGGCATGCCTCTCGACACGGCCGTTGCTAGCAGTTGCACAAACGGAGAAGGTCACAGCAAGATGGACGGTCATCACGTGACACTGCAGGAGCGACCAGCGCAAGGTGGAACAGCCTTTCCATTTGGAAGGACCGCTTCCCGCCTGCCCAAGAGTGGACCTTGAATGCCAACAACAGCACCTATGCCAGCATCTTCGTTCTGTGCTGATTGGACTTGGGAAGTCTTTCACCTTGGGAGTCAACATGCGGCAGCTTTGCTCTGCGGCCTGACATTCTGCACTCGTTCTTTGTGTCAGAGTCGCATCCCAGTGCTTCGGAGCTTGCATTTTCGGAATGCCCCTGCTGGGACCGCGGATACAACGATGGCACCGGCACTCGATCTAGCTTTTTTGGATCTCAGTCTTGTCGCATGTTAACAGTGGCACCTTTGGGTCCGGGCCCTGTCCGATGGGCAGCCCGGGGCCTTGAGGCCACTCAGTCGCACTCGGACCATGGTAAGCACATCCACCACTCCATCAACTTCAGCTGGGTCAGACGGAGGTATGCTTGCGAAAAGTTGATAGAACGGAGTGGGGTGGGAGTATGCCATGATACGGAGGCCTTTCTTTTGGACGAGCTAACGGAGAACTCCCCCGTCGGGAGGATGCCATGTTCGCCTACCCGTCTCCCGGAACGGACCGCCAGTGTGGCGAGGCATTGAGGCGCATCCGCGAGAGATGTTGTCCGAGATGATCCGTTTCGTTCTGATTCGATTTGGGGTATCGAAGCCCGCACTGGTGTCGGCGATAGGCCAGAACATTCTGAGGGCACCTCAGGCCACTTCGATTGCGTCGATCACTGTGCTTGGTCTTCCATCCGCGTTTTGATGCCAACCTGATGTCATCACGTGCGACGTGTGTCAACGATGTCGTAGAGGCCTGAAGACGGAGCGATGGGACCGGGGCGGTGTAACGAAGAATGCAACCTACGCGTGCACCGCACTGAGCACACCCGGCGGCCGGGCGTTGAGATGAGGAGGTGCAGATTACAGTGTGGGCCCCACTCAAAGATTTGAAGAAAATAGAACTGTAAAATTGCAAAAAAGAAAAGGAACTCTCTACCGGCTACCGCATGTCGGATGTTTCTTGGCTTTGTCGCAGCAACATTACTGCCAGACTTGCAACATGTTGGCATTCTTTGCAGTTACTCACACTTGCATCCGGGTTCCTATTTGCAACCTTTTCGACTTTTCCGGAGAAACTCAAACCGCCGCTTCTCTTGACACTTCCGTCTCTTGCCTGGAACCAATTTGGAAGGTCACGCTCATGGGCCTCACCACGACAACGGCGGTTCCGCTGTCGAGCCGTTCGGGTGCGCTCCGCTCCGCTCCGCGCTCACCGCCTGCCATCTTTCCCTTCCAAAGGCAGCTTGCAAAGACCTGGAACCCAAAAGCGAACGAAAGCGAAGCGATTCGAATAGATTCAAAAGAAACAAAAACAGAAAAATCTGCATTGCCCAGAACCTCTTTCTTCAAGAACCTCTCCCAAAATCGCATTGTTGGTCTTCCTGGCAATTCGGTCCACGGGCTCCACATGGAATGGAAAACGCAACGGAAGAACACCAGGGGGCACTTTGTGGTTCGTGTCCTTTCCACGTACCGTGCGTACGCTCGTTTGACACGCGCGCGTACCAGGCGTTCGAAGTTGCGAGAAGACTTCATCCTTCGACGAAGAGAGCCGAAGGAAGTCAATTGCGTCCGTCGCGCCGAGCCCTATGGAGCCCGAGCGATCGCGCTCAGAAAAAAGCGCAGTTCATCACGCATTCAGCCAGTTTTGTCGAAGTTCCAAAACTGACACAGCGGTTAGTTCAAACCACCTGCCCTGGCGCTAGCCTCTCTTTTCCTAAGACCAACAGCAATTCTGAATGAAACGAATATACACCAACAGCAATTCCGACTTGCGCTGATCTTGCGCAAAATGCAAAACAAAACAGATGTCCACGATGTCGTTGCGTTTATCGTTTCATCTTCGTCACTTTTTAAACATGCCAACAAGGCCCAAGAAGGCCCAGCACATCAATCCGCAGCGGCCAAGGTCCTGGAGGGAGCCTCACCGAATGATCTCAAATGCGACGAGAAGGGAAAAAGATCCAAAAAAAATGTGAAATGATTTGAATCGTGTCAAAGATCCGGAAAACTACGTACAAGTAAACCAACAAAATTGTCAATAATTGTGTTTGTGCGCCTGAAAGGTGCAGAGCACGGCAACGGACTTTGCCGGCGGGTTGGACCAGAGCGCACTGAAAGGATGCTGCCTGTGGGAGTTTTCCCGCCAGAAACAAAACAAAAACGAAAAACGGCAAAACGAAAACGGGTAGAAGAAAGCGGGTAAAGAAGAATTGTATATATTTTGTTCATGTTCTTGTCTTTTCTGTTATGTGTCTTTTTGGAGCAGTTTGGTGGATCCTTCCGGTAAACCCACATAGTCCAAAATGGTCAGCTCCATATCCTCGGGATGAGAACTGAGGAGTGGAACTGTGAATCAGTGCTTGACACATGTCAGTTGAAAGATGCGTTTGTTTTCTTTAAAGACTTTCAATTTGCATCCTCGCAAGGACACGAGTTGGGAGAAAACTTTGTTATGAAAAACGCAACAAACCAACGATGACAGCCAGAATGCCACGCAGCCAAAGGGGGGCCGCCCGAAAGTTAATGGGCTTACAGTGCTTACAGGTCTTTTGACTGCAGGTAGCAGCTTTTTCACGCACGCGGTATCCCCGAAATTTTCACGTTTCTCGGCCATAGCCATGAACTGTCAGGTTGGCTCTAGGTTTCGGCTTCAAGCACCCCTTGAGCCACATTGTAGGAACTGCTTCAGAGACTTCCATGAGTTGCCCGCCGCCAACAGGGGACTATCTACATAGTTTTTGACGGCCACTGACTGGACAGCGGTGACTGGACAGCGGTGCCACACGCCAGCCTAAGAAACCAAATCCTGAAAAAGCCAGGTGAGGGGGCTGCGCGCCTGTAGTTAGAGGCCAGAAGTCAAACTCCACGATGCGACGAGCCGACGGGATGACGGCGCACTGTGCGTGACTGCAGATGCATTAGCACGTTACCAAAAGATTAAAAGTTGAAGCAGGCACAAGTGGTTGATCAGACCACTCATCCACCGAAATGCCATAGCTTCGTTGGACTGGATAGGCAAATCGGCTCCAGTCCCCCTGCTATCAACAGAAGTAAAGAGTCAGGCAGCGCATTCCAAAAGGATCCCTGTGATTTCAAGGGTCACACACACACCAAAAAGCGCGCACTCTAGCAAAAGCCAAGTCCAAGCCAGCATATCAAGGTGTGAATACAAGGAGCTGTGGGGAAGTTCAGTACCATACAGTTGCTGTCAGCGCGATGAACCAGTGCGTCGAACGCAAGCCTAGACCTTCTGTAGGGTTGAAGGCGCAATCACGCTTCGACTTCTATTTTGATGGTATCCCCTAGCTTGGTCTCCGTCCTTTGTCGTTCCTTCTGCTGGCCCCTCAAGCTTGCTGTAGACGGTAATCCTTCGTCTGGTCCTAGCGTCCCAAGTTTGACTATACGGAACGTCCTTTGTGATTTAACACCTTTGTCGGTAATGCGTCTGCGAGCTGCTGTTCGGATGGAGAACACTTGGACGCTATACCTCTTCGTAAAGGTTTTGCCGAAAGACGGCTGCTTCAACAGAAGCAACCGTCTGACAAAAGCACTGTTTCTGAGCGTGGACAATCGTAGAGCGGCTTGCAATCTGTAACCTTTGCCGCTATGTTGTACGAGATAGATTCTTGCAATCGAACAGGTTCGCTTCAGAATCAAGAGTTTCCAGCAATCAAGAGTTTCCAGCAACATAGCCCAGAAGCAAGTCAAACTGTCTACAGCTTCTCAGCTGACAGCGTGGAATGGAGCGACCCTGTTGGCCTTGCTAGATACCCAAATCACAAAGTGGATGGCACGCATCTCTTGACATAATCCAAAGTCCATGTGTACTGATTATGATCTCTTTGCTGCAACCAGAGCTAATATGTCCTTTCTGAGACTTGACCCAGCAAACTGTGGACTGAAGCATCAATGGGCTGCGACCATTGCTTCGGCGCTGATTCGCAACTTGAACCAACTTTGCCGCTGCTCCCGAACCCTGGACCTTCAAAGTGGGGGCGCTGGAGATCCACAAGTAGTGTAGAGTAGACTGGAAAATCTAGGGTCCGTCCTTTGACGAACGCGTCACTTAAAGGCCAATGTCAACACTAGCCCTTAAACAATTGCATCTGGAGCATTGAGTTTTGCTTTTTTTGTCTTTTGGCCTAACCCTCTCTCACTGCCAAACAGCTGCTCACGGTCACGCAGTCTTCAGCATCAACATGAGACATTCCATCTTGTTCTTGACTATAGCTTCGTCTTTGGAATTTCACTGACCCTCGCGTGACCCATTCGATCCTTTTTTCGCGTTTCCTTCTGCGTGGCTCTGTCTCTTCAGGAAACTTCTTCTCACGCCAAGCTACCAAGACGTCGCCCACACGCAAAACTAAAATTTCAAACCTTCTCCGGCTTGAGAACGTCACAAGATGAAGCCCGGGTCGCGCAGCTGCAGAGGCTGTGTTTGCGTAGCGTTGGAAGCCTCGCGTTGCCCTGACTGTTTGGCAAAGGCACGCGAGTACTCGTATGTGCGGAGGTTGTGAAAGCTGCAGGCCCGGCCTTGCGCAGCCCTGGCACTTTGATGGTGGACTCATGTGAAAAAGTGAGAGAAAAAGAAAGAGAGAGAGAGAGAGGGAGATAGGCGCAGGTGCGAAGATGTCTCGATACGATGCTCTGTTTCCCCATGCCTGCTACGGACACGGCAAACTTTGGCACCCCGTATACGCAATCATCGCAATTGCGTGTCCTGAAGCGTTCCAGACCTTGTACCAATGATTCCAAGCAGCTTTCTGGGCCGATCAGTCCAGCTTTGGTTGGCCAGTACAAATAACATCTTTGGCGCCTCCTCTGCAAGGGCCGCGCATCGCAGGAAGCACGGGCGCAAGTAGCTTGTTTGCGGCGAGCTGTCCTGCGTGCTCGCGGCTTCAATTAGTCTTACTTTTTCTTCCTGGCAGAGGCGTCGACCTCATCCTCTTCATTGCCGGAGATCATGACCGTCATCTACCACGAATTCCAGCAGCACTACTTGTATCCAGCAAAAGCTCTGTTTCGTTCTCTTTTGGCTCGGCCTCCTCTTCAGCCGCTTGCCTTCTTCTGACGGCCCCGCCGTACTGCAGCACTCTTGTTTCACCGGCCTTGTCCCTGTCTCATTGCCTCCACCCTGCCGCCTTGAATATTTCCAGAACGCAATCCTTCAGTACCGGCAGCTGAGGAGCAGCGAGTTCTTGGTAACGGTCATATCGTCAGACACTGACAATTGACGCATGAATGCTTCTGGCGCTCTTTTCAAGCTCCTTTGTTGCTCGTCTCTTTTTCCAAGCTTCGAGCTATCACTGGGGCCCTTCTTCCAAGGGTTCTTTCTTGCAGCTTTAAGCAATTGCTTGACTGCTCTTCCTTCAAGAGATCAACATCACCCACAGCAATGTTCAGCGACGGCTTGCTCATTTTGGACGATTTCTTCGTCGCTTTCTAGCTGAAAATCCTTCCCAGTTCATGCAGGAAATTTGCTATCAATTCATGCGCGGCTTCCCAGCTGCCATTCAAAATTAAGCATGGGCCCTTTCGATGGACACGAATGATTCAACTTGGTTATGATGATAGCTTCCATCCTTTTTGGTCAAAAGATGTGTGGCACAGGGTTTCTGCGCGAGAGGGCAGAGTGGGGCCGCGCGCACAGCAATTCGGCGCTTGAATTCGATCCCCGGCCGAAGACCCTTCGTTCGTGGAAAAACAGAGCAGTTGCGGTACGAGTCCATTGCGATAACCCCCCTGGCATTACCGGTTTGAAGCTTTGCGCTGATTACAACGGATGCCAGTGTAACGCTTGCCTTTCTAGCCTTGTCCAGAGTGGCTTGACCTGACCTGATCTCAAAAGATTGGTGCCCTTCTGCTCATTAGCGCCGTTTGGACTGAGCCGCTTAATGAAGCCTTCTCGCAGCTTTCTGAGTTGCAACTCCATATCCATCAGCCACCACATGTTTGCCAAAATTCATGGGAAGCTTGAAAGAAGAAGATCTGGCTGCATGCAGCATATACCCTTACGAAAAAGAATGGACATAGTAAGTTTATGGTGCGTTGCATTCGCTGTTTATTGGCGGCGCTCACTTTTTGATTTCCCCAGCCAGAAATGGCGGAAGCGCGACGGTGTGTTGGAAGAGCTTGCTGCCACCTTGTTGATGGCTAAGTCCTTCGTTTGGTTGCAATTCCAAAGCCAGAGCACTACTGCAAGAAGGGTACTTCCTTTATTTGATCCAGATAACTTGGCTGTCATTGTGCCTGGTCACCTTCAAAAAGCGCAGAGACTGATTTCCTGGGCAACTTCTTGCGTTGCTTGCGTTAATGCACTGGGCGCTTTTGGCATGTATGTCTGGTTTGGGCGTGGTTTCCAATATGTTGACACTGCTCAACTTGCACGTTGTCTAGGCAGTAGGCAGCATGTTTCCGGCTTGGTGTGTCGCCTGTTTGAGCACCTCACTTTGCGCGCTAGAGCTGGGCGCCAACAAATGTTTGCCGTTACCGCCTTGCCAGGAAGTTTCAGCTTGCTTCTTTGATGGTTGCCTGTCCGTTCTGGTCATGAGTGTGAAGTTCGGGCGCGTGAACCCTTGACCATCAAGATGTATAGGCCTAATGCTAACGTTGGCGGCAAGTGTAACCGCAGTGCCATCCAGCCACAAAAAAGCGGCACCGGAGACCGCTGCTATGAAACAGCAGAGTTTGCACAAGACTTGGTCCAGTGGTTTGATGGGTCAGTGCTTGGATAGGCGCATTGTCGAAGGGCTTGTACCTGGCCCTCTGACTCCCACGATAAGCAAGACCCGTTGTGGTTGGAAGCTTGGTCCCATCGCTTTCTTGCGGCTTACAGAAAGTTGCAACACCAAATATTTCTTTCCGGTGACCACATTGGCCCTCTGGATATTTATTCTGCCCTCCTTGCCCAAATCCGCCGGCTCAAATTGCGTAGGACAAGGAAGTGTTTGTTTCTGGGAGTTGAGCTGGATATTGCGGCGAAGCTTGCATCTTCATCCTCGATGGCCCTCGCACGTCGTCAATTGGGTTTGAGCAAAACGCATGTCATGGTTGCCCCAAGTTTAAGGGTTTCCTGTCGCATGTTTGCATGAAGCTTTGGACTTTGACCCTACCAGCTTGCTTATGCCATCCAAGGCAGTAGCTTGCGCACTGTTGAAAGGAACATGAATACAAAACGGCCGCTATCCCTGGAAGACAAAGTCCAAACTGTTGAATTGGCCACCAAAACTTGGCGCCAGCAAGCTTGCTTGGGAGCGAAGGGATTGAAAGAGGTCAAAAGATCTGTTCAGCAACTCATGTTGCCGTATAGGGCGTCGTATTTTGCACGAGTACTCGGTGTACTCGCATGACTTGTTCCCTGGCAACCAAGTTTGTGTGCCTGATGACAAAGATAGGAAACAAATGCGGAAAGTTGACATGGCTTGTTATCATGCTCTCTTGCTTTGCTACGCAGTCTGTTGCGAAACTTGGAAGTTGTCTTGCTTGACAGTGCATGAAGCAAATGTCCATATCCAGCGCGCGCTTCGTACTTTGGCGCCCTCCCACTTGCAAAGTTGGCTGGGCGCTGGCTTAGCTTGCGAGTGGGTCCCGTATGCGTATGGGACCATCAAAAGTAAATGGCATAGCTCTGGCGCACATCTGTGCGCCAAACCCGGGCATAGCTGTGTCCGGAAAGTTGTTGTATACTGTAGATGGCCTTTCCGACATCGCTGGAGACTGGTCGTGCGTGTGACGTCATCCTTCGGAAATGGGGCCATGGTTTCGAAGTTTGAAGGCTTGAAGTATGCCACTAGTAATCTGTTGCTTGATTGCCACGCCCTTGAACATGAAGGTTTGGTGCTGCAAGTGTGGAAATGGTAAGCCTTTCAGCAATGGCGCAGTCGCGGATGCCGGGCAGTTAATCGAAGCGGTCTCTGCAGGCCAGGTCCTCTAAGTCCATTTGCTTCCTTTTTCATGACGTCTTGATGCGTTTGGCTGCGCGCGTGTGTGTGTGTGTCCCATTCTGCAGCTTGGGGTCTGCAGCTGTCATTGCCCATTGGCGGGCTGCTGTCCCGCATTGCAGCTAGTGCTGGGAAAAGCATATTTGGGTACAAGGTTGGCCGTCTAATTTCGGTTTGCCAGCCGCTGTTCCTGAATGGGGATCTGCCATTGCGGCGCGGCGTTACATGGATGATTTGGTTTTGATTTCCAAGCTGTTTTGTGTCAGTCGTTTGGTGGGTCTGACGCATTGCATGTATTCTGTGCCATTTGATGCGGCGCCTGTGTCCCGCCGACTTCAGTGGCTGATGTTGTCCTTGACCTTTATCGATTGCAAGTTGATGTCAAAAGAAGAACGTATGTTATTCCGCCACCTTGTGATACTTCTCAGCGTAGCATCCGTGCTTTCTTGTGGGGTCGGTTGGCTCGTTACCATCAGCTGGGTTTGGACCATGCCAAGAAACACAATGATCTCGATTCTTTTCCCGGTTGCTTTGGCCACGCAAAAATTCGGCTATAGGCTGTTGAGATAGATAATTCTCAGCGCGTGGAAAGATTCGTTTGCTGATGACCTCCAACTTTTGAGGGCCTTTGTGCGTTCCCACACTTTCCGGTCCCTCTGCCTTAAAGTCCTTTAGGCTTGCAAAGAAGCTTCCCTGCGCGCTCGCATTTGCAACGCGGCGTGGCTTCTACGGCGCTCTTGCCCTGCTCTATTTTTGCCAGTGTGGGAGCCTTGGGTTGGCCGCAGCAGAAAGGAAGGCAATGGGAGTGGCAGGCATCCCAGCAATGGAGGAGCTCCCAAACGTCACCCCAACATGCCCAGGTGATCCGCATCGAAGTGGACAGAGGTGAGGGGTCACGGAAACATGAACATCAGAGAGAACAGCGCCGTCGAAAACATGGGGATGACTCCCATGGCCGCAAGCGTGACTCCTGCTCTTCTTCTGCCTCCTCATCCCTGTCTTCCCGCAGACGTAGCAGAAGAAAGGACAAGAAAACGCGCCGCGCAAAGAGTGACCGTGCAAGCAGGCTGGAGAGTGAATTGCAAATGCTCCAAGCAGAAAAAGCAGCCAGGGAAGCCGCAGCGGAAAGGGACAAACTCAAACAAGAGATGGAGCGCCAAGTCGAGGCAATGAAAAAAAGATCTCCTTGAATAGCTCTCCAAGTGTCAAGATGGTGCACCTGCGCCGGCTCCCGTGGAAGCTCTATGCCACGAAAATGAAAGGCCCTTGCAGCTGGCAGAGAAAATGGCTATCTTCCATGCTTTGGGATGGGAGGCTATGAAGGCGTGAAGGGATGCCGTTTGTGGTTGGAACTGGAAAGCCACTTGGGTAGCGAAGATGGTGAGCGGTTGAAGACATTGTTTCGCCTGGCGCGCCGACGTGGCAGCCTCCCTCGGACCAATGCGGCCTTGGTTTCCAAGATACTTTCTGGCAAACGTGAGGGCAGTTTGCGGAGTTTGCCGGCCTAGAGTTTGATGTTGGCAGCCACCGGACGCCTCCCCATGTTTGGTTTTTTGGGTTGATTTTGATTGGTTTGTTCCGCTTTTCCTTTGAAGCGTTCGGGAGACATTCACCCGGTTTGGCATTCTGGGATTTTGCGTAGGCACTCAAAACTCTTAGCTGGGAATTGCTACATGTTCTTTGAGGCACTGACATGTCTGGCGCTGCCCGCAACGTTTGCTCTGTCCTGGGTGGGCGTTTGATTCCTTACATCCTTCCCAGTTCATGCAGGAAATTTGCTATCAATTCATGCGCGGCTTCCCAGCTGCCATTCAAAATTAAGCATGGGCCCTTTCGATGGACACGAATGATTCAACTTGGTTATGTGTGGCGCAGGGTTTCTGCACGAGAGGGCAGAGTGGGGCCGTGCGCACAGCAATTCGGCGCTTGAATTCGATCCCCGGCCGAAGACCCTTCGTTCGTGGAAAACAGAGCAGTTACAAGTCCATTGTGTTCGTCGCTTCTCTTACGCCTTGTGATCGGAGCGACGACGGCAACATCCACAAGCAGTTCGCCACACCGACCCTGCACCTACGACAATTGCGGCAGAAATTCCGCCAACAACCGTCCACCACCCACCAACTGCACTCCTCCCAGCTATCACGACTTTTCCTTCCACTTGGACACCCACTGACACTCGATGCCAATCCAGCTAACATTCTCCAAACTCCGTCGACACATACAACCACTAGGATGGTCCAGCTTTTTCGCTGGCGGCGCGCCCTAACCAGGCACTAAAATTATACGTGCGGAGTTATCTTTGGGTTATTCCATTGTTGATTCATCTGCCCCATCTTACTCAAGCCATCGCACATGCACCCATTCGGACGCCGTTCAAACCGCTCGAGACGGACTCGGTGCTGAGGGCGAGACATGGACGGTGACGGCGCAGTTGGCAACCAGCTACAGCAGCTACCAGCAGCTACGTTATCTACGTTGAGGTTTTGGGGATCTTTGTTTGCTCTTTTCAGCTAATTGTTCAACTTCGCTCGCACTTCAGTTTGTATACCCAACACCTGGTTTTTCACCATAAATCCAAGTCGAAATTCTAACAGCCGCGAGGCGCCTTGGGCGCAATCCTTCCGGCCGAAAACTGCAGAAAGGACTGGCTCGAAAGGGCTCAACTAAACTTTAGCACTTTACTTATTAAATTAAATTCAAATTACTAATAGCTTCTTTGTTACTACTAGTAAGGCAC